AAATCATACCGGACTATGTGCGACTCATATTATTTTCTTTCTCTATGTTGGGCAAGGCTAAGAGATGGTTGAAGGTTGAACCAACAAACTATGTTACATCGTGGAATGATTTGGCTCGTAAGTTCTTGGCGATATTCTTCCCATCTGGTAAAACTACAAAGATCTGAAGTGTAGTCACCTTTAAGTAGAAAGAGGGCGAGTCATTGTATTCCGCTTGGGAGAGATTCAAGGGAGAATTGTGTGCAATATATTAGACTAACGAGGTCTTAGCTCACACTTTTATCGAGCGTTTTCATCGGAAGACAAAGATAGTGATAGATGTTGCAGCATGTGGTCAAGTGTTTGAAAATAGTTTTGATGAGATCTACGCACTTCTGAATAAATTTTCTATGAGCAATCCATACTAGAAAGGAGAAGTAAGTAGATACACAGTTCATAAGGCTGAGGGGTACTTGAGTTAGATGTAGTTTCTGCATTGTCGGCGCAAGTGACTTCTTTGGCGAATCAATTCAACAAAGTGGCTATGGTCTGAACATATAGCAAGTTCAGCCGGTACAACAAGTGCAATCATTTTGCAAAGTATGTGGAGAAGGCCTCACTACTGATTTACGCCCAGCAAATCCAGAGTTAGTCTATTTTGTATAGAGGCCAAGCAAATCAATATTGGAATACTTATAATCCCAGCTTGATTCAAAACGAGTAATTTGTTTTAAAACCCGAGAACATACAAATATTTTCCTTTTCACATTTATCCTCTGAGCAAATTCCTAAAATTCTTTTATACCTTTATTGCATTTTTTAAAGCAATAAAGTGTAATTTATTCAAATAAATGGAGTATTCTTAAGTGATTTTTAATAGGTGCGCCAAAATCATAAAAATCACATATAATGGATCGAAGGTAGTATGTTTTTTTCTGTTCTTTCTCATTGGGTTAATTTTGTTCTAAGAAATTGAGATGAGTATTTTTATTAGAAATTATTGTTTTTTATCTTCTCCTATTACATGAAATTCAATTTTTATTTCATTCCGGAAAAGTCAATCTTTTTCTCAACAATATCTTTATCATTTGATCCAATAACTCAATTCTAGAATTAGACTTGCTATACATTAGAGTGCGGTCCACAACTCAAATAAAATCCATGAAACAAATAGTTAGTAGATTATTTTCTTATAATTCATTTAACCAACTCCAATTTATTTGATTGAGGCGTATAATTGTTACATTTTTGCATCTTGTACTTGATAATTTGATTCAATGGGGCTTATTAAATTTTACTTATTTTGAAAATATCTTTATTGAACAAAAATTATAGTTGATAATTTCACATTTGAAAATTCATTATGGAGGCGTTTTTGCATTACATCATATCTTAAACTGTGCAAGAAGAAGGTTAAAGAGGAACTCCATAATTATATAGATCCTAATTATTTGTCATATCTTGAGCTTTTGACTATAATGAAAGAACTTGATTATTCTAAAAATTATCTATTCAAAAAAAAAAAGATTTTTATTAAAAAAATTATTTTACCTGAAAATTATTACACAAGGGGGTTCTCTTTCCCATTCAAAAAGTGAGGGGATATCGTTTCCCAACCCTTAAAGGTTAAGGGGGTAAAGTGAATTTAACTCTATAAATTTCATCTTATTCCTATTGGAACTCAAATTGAAAAATACGAAAAACAAAATGAGACTCCATATTGTTAGATTTAGTTATCATATTACGAATTTAATGATAGTATTTAACCTAATTAATTAATTTACTTTTAAAAAAAAACTAAAATGATTGTCATAAAAATTCAGGAAGAATATTAATATTTATTATCATTATTATTATTCAACATGAAGTGTATCAGAATGTAATATTATTCGCAAAAGGTATAAAAATCTATTAACATTTCATATACATTTTGTGTGTATTTATATTGAAAACTACAATAGTGTTTAAAATGTTAGTTTTATTCCATACACATTTTAAGATTTTTTTGTGTATAAAAAATTTACTGTTTACTAATTAAAAGTTATTCGTTGATAATATTTTAGTGATATGGTACTTGTGTATTGATTGAATGTTAGTTCACTTAGTTCACGAATGATGTTGTTAAGATATGCTGTCTTTTATCATTTAGATAACTTTTAATTATAATAGTAAAATTATAATAGAATTATTATTTAATTAAATTATTAGCATAGAAGGTAAATTTTTAAGATTTTAAATCCTAAGTATTAGAACTTTCTTCCAAAAAGCAAAAGGCTTTATATTTACAATTTGCCTAAGTATTTCATGCTACAAAATTTCGTGGAATTTGGTTGCTTTTTCTATATCTTTTTTTGTTATTTTAAATAATTTAAATAAGGAAGAACTTAGTAATGAGAACTTACATAGTTCTCAACATGTATTTCGTGATTAAAGAAAATAATAAAGGGGTATTAATTAAGTAAAAAAAGTTTATATAAGGTAAAACTTTAATTAATTTGCCTTTAAAGTCCTATAGTCAAATAAGGAACAATTTAGTAAGCAAACTTTTAGTTGATTTTAAAGTGCTAAATATTATAAAAAAAATCTTAAGTTAAATGACTATTTTATCTAATGTGAAACCTATTTTTAAAGGCGAACGACATTTCGCTAAGGGCGTTCATGCTTTTAATATAGTACTAATCTCACAGTACGCGCGTTGCGCGTGTACCCTATATTGATGAGAATAATTTATAAATAAATAAATATATATATATATANGTCTATTCTAATAACACTCACTCAAAAGAATGCAAAAATTTGACCTTTTTTTGCTACAAATAGCTATTGCTAATATTAGTAATATTTTATGAATTGGCCAATTTTGGTAATGAGCTACTTATAAATGGATATAACTGGTAGTTTTTTTTTAATATAGTATTAGTCTCATGATACGCCCGTTGTGCGTGCACCCTATATTGATGAAAATATTTTAAAAATATATATATATATAACATTCGAAGCATGGTTTTAGTAACAAAATAAAAATTAAGTAAAAATTTGAGTTCTTGAAAATAATATATATTTATCATGAAATTGATACACGTATAATGAATTATATTCATTTATTCATGATCTTGTCTAATAATATTTATTTAATTAAAAAATTTAATTAACATATACAAAAAAAAATCTTTTAGTAATTTGAAATTAGAATATCTTATGAATATTGTTTTTGTCTTAAGAACCATGTATATTATGATTCGTTATGTAGTAATCAATAAAAATGGACAATTAAGTTAATACTTTGATCCTAATATTTTAATAGATTTCAAAGTTATAAATATTAGGAAATAAGTAAATGTTAATTTTATCCTATTTGAAATTTATTTTTAAAGGCTAAAATTTACTAATATTTCGCTATGACGCTTCGTGCTTTTATAATAGATCATATATATTTTTATTGATAAATAAATATAACAATATGTATTTTGCTAGCAAGAAAGAAAGAAGATTGTCTTCTATCTATTAAAATGACCTTGAAAATAGCTTTTTATTTTTTTTTAAAAAGCTCTTAGATCTTCAAAAGTTATGTATTCTTGCTAAAACTGAAAAGTTAAACATATAGAATTGGAACTAAGTTTAATTTGAACATATTGGATGATGATTGGAATTTTATGGGGTACAATTTCTTCCTTTATTGAGTTAGTTATATATACGATAAACATTTATCAATTTCAAAAATTTAAACTTTTTATTTTATACCAAATTATAACTTTTATTAAGTATATTTACATACTGAGATTAGGTACATGCATAATTCGCATATCGTGAATTTTACCAAATAGCAAAGACTCATAACCTAAAAGAATGTGTGTGAGATTTAGGCAAAAAACTTTAACTACAAAAAGTCTCATAAACCTAAAAGGTATTAACTACAAATAAAGTCATTTAATACTCCAACATAAGGAGTTGAACAGGAGGCGAAAATTTAGACTAGGCAAAAAATATTTACTACAAAGAAAGGTCTCCTAAACCTAAAAAATATTAACTACAAAATAAACACATTTAATACCCTAACATAGAGAGTTGAATGTAGAGGCGAAAATTTAGGCTAGGCAAAAAAATTTTAACTACAGAAAATGTCTCCTAAACCTTAAAGGTTTTAAGTACTCCAACCTAGGGAGTAAAACGAATAGACAAAATTTTATTAACTTTCCTAAACTGTTAATAATAGGAAAAATAATTAAATAACTATTCCTAAATTGTAGAAGAATTAATTAAATAATTATTCCTAAATATTAATGGAATACTCAAATTACTATTTTGTCTAATATGAACCATACTATATTTTAAAGGGTAAAAAAGCGAACGAAATTTCGCTAAGAACGGTCGTGCTTTTAGTATAGTATAGATATAGATAGATATATAGATTACAAATAAACATAAAACTCATGCTATTCTAACAGTTTAAAAGTCAATACGTTATACTTTAACTTACAGCGCCAAGAGTCTTATACGTTATCATTGTCCTCAATTTAGCCTTGCTAGTTCTCGTGTTGACTATATGAAAAGGAAAAACCTTAGAACTGGAAACGTTGAGATTCTCCATTAAAAATGAAAATAGAACAGCAAAAAAGGAAATAAAATGGTTTGATATTCTTTATACAAATCCACATCAAGCTTGGAATATAGCATAGGCCATTCATCTAACCAAATTTCAGGAGATACATGGTCCGCTGCTTTTGAAAAGAGAGGCCAATCTCCAATTTTTTTCTCCCACAAACACTAACTTCTATAATTAACTTGCATCTCATTTCCTTTCCCCCTATTTTCCAAAAAAGAGAAAAACCCAAAAAGGGGTTGATATTAAAAAATAAAAAATAAAAACTTTCTCTAGGATATCTTCCCAATTATGCCCTCCATCCACAAAAGAGACAAAAAGTAGATCCAACCACAAAAAGAAGAAGAATAACACTACTAAAGCAAGGGCAAGAGAGGAAATTCAAAGAAAACAACCCCTTCCCCCCCCAAAAGTTCTGAGATGAAAAAATAAAATAAAAAAGATTTCAAAAGGGGACTCGTTTTGTCTTTGACACCTCTATCAAGAAAGAATGGCCAAAACAAATGCCTGTCCTCTGGCAAGCAAAAGAATCCCAACAAAGATAATTCAACCGTTCCATCTTTTCCCATTTTGTTTTTACAGTTAAGTTGAGTGTCTTTCATTTCAATCCCTGAAAAAGCACTGGCTTTCCCCATCTTACTAGCTATACCAAAAAGTAAAAGCTACTATTTCATCACCATCTTCTTCAATTCTTTTTTCTTGTCCTAACCATACTTTCAGCACATTGTTTTCCTGCATAGGAGATAATGATATATTAATGAGCTACTATTCAGGGAATGATAATGGTTAGTTTTCAAGGGGAAAAAAATTGCACTTAATATCAAAGACAATGCTATTTCTTGGGACCCAAATCACCATAGCGTAGGAAAAAAAAAGAATATTTTTTATATTTACGAAAAAAATGTTTATTTTTTACCAACACAATGTAATGTCTAGTAAGTCAGACCATAATGCTCGACAACAAAAATCACGAAGCACAAAGTAGGTGCTTTAATCCATGAATTTCAACTATTTCCAGGTGAATCATGTTACTTCACAAATTTTAAACAGGACAAGCACTCATATTTTCACAGAAAGCAGCACCAGATAAATTATTTCCTTTTTTTTTTTCACTTTTGCGGATTATTTTTTAGTCTAAAACAATATCTTGCTTTCTCTTCTTTTTAATTCGTAAGACCCTTCTTTTGACCCCTGTTGAATTTGGTCGGAAATAATTCAGACACCTGTCCAAACCTCAAAAGTACTACTCTCTCCTACTGAGCACTACTAAAGTAACTACTAGTAACTGCCAGATAGCAAGGATACAGGGATTGCTAGTCACCATCTGAATAGTGACTTGTATGATTTATTGGCCCTTCCCTAATAATTCTGTCTAAAACATTAATGCAATTGTTTATACTACTTAACTAATTCTAATCATTGCACCCACGCTTCAATTATACACAGTCGCAACTTGCACAATAAATCCTCAGTCAAAAGAGGATGTGACCACGGTAAGTTAAATTCAAAATATCGGTAATAAAGGAGGATAAGGATACGGATGAAGCATGCTTGCGTAAGGGTAGACTATCCTCTTGGGTGCTCTTCTTGGGGTGTATAATTGACCTACATCATATCCTCTTGGGGTGCTTTTCCTTACCTTGCGTAAACAGAGGAAAGGGAAGCCTTGGAGAATGTTAAAGTTGTCTCTGTGTGACCTATAGGTCACGGGTTTGAATCGTAAAAGCAATCAATAATACTTGCATTAGGATAGACTATGTACATCACATTTCTTGGGTGTGGCTCTTCCACGGACCCAACGTGAACGAAGAATATCTTGTGCATCCAACCTTTTTAATGTAATGATTGTGACAATTTAGTCATTGGGCATAGAGTCAAATTAAGGAGATAAAGGGGGTTTCCTAATCTAGTCTTGTCTAGACGAATCCAAGTGATCCTATATGAACCGATAAATATTCCCAAAAGCTGTAGGAACAAATAAGTTGTAAAAATAAGATGTGGATGTAGGTGGTAAAATAGTGACCACTCTGAAATCACATTCCATAGTGTAACTTTCAGCTCTAAAAGCAAAGGTGACACCATGAAAGGCACATAGCAGAGAAAAAGAAGGTGCTTTGTCTAACAGTCAACCACAACATGATATATAGCAAAAAGTACTGTATATATATTCCAAATACCGTTTTCTTTAATTCTTTCCGGACTACGGACACTGTCCATGAACCCAAAGCTATACCATACATTCCCCTTCCCAAAATGACCATAAGGTCCCCTACAACCTTTTTTGGGTTCCATTTTTAAAATGACTACAAACTCCATCTCTATAATAATGAAAGAACTAACTGTCGGTGGACTAATCAGGGGTTTGATCTTTTGAAAGACATGAAAGAAAATGACATATGACGGAGCCCACGGATACACACAAACAAACATCACACCTATGTATTATCTTCTCGTGATTTATTTATGATTATTTAGAAAACTCAACGTAATTACTAAGGCAAAAGGGTCTTAGATTCATATCATAATATACCAATTATTAGTGTTATGGGTCCTAGTTGATATCATCATCATTAGTTCAGACATGCTTGGACTTGGAAAAATTATCACCATCATTAAATACACAAAAAGAATCAGACCAAATGGAAGGATATGAAAGAAGAATTTACCATTTTTTAAAAATTTTGCTTGACTTGGTTATTATTTGAGAGATGTTTGGGAAGCTTTTGGTGTAGCTTGCTTAAATGCAACAGTGGGAGCTATCCGGCAACTCCTTTTCTGATGCTCTTGCACTAGTTCTCCAGCAAACCAGTCAAGTTTCTGTAAATTGCTTTGCTCTGCAATTCTCTTGCCACCGAAAAGCACAGACTCTACATTTTTCTGTTTCAGCATTTCATCTGCTATCCCAGCCAGCGTTTTCACATTGCTAGGACTTGGGTCAGCGTCTACATTCACACCACAACGACCAAAGCTCGATCCGTTAGCCTGCCATCATCAAATTAGTTTAGAAACTGTAAAGACCATTTAATTTTACTATGATATCCAAGTTAAAGACAAATTGTAATACTTGAAAGCAACAAGTCATTCTACCTTTATATGTTAATTTGAATATAGAACATTTTATGACTTAGTAATGATAGGCAAAGGATAGAAAGCAAATATATCTTGACTGGAAGAAGAATCAGTTGATGACGAAACTCAACAGCTTTCAGTTTGACAATTTATAAACCATGTGGGACTTGTTTAACTTATCGCTTAATTCTTCTGAATGATCAATATACTACTCCACTAGATTAGTATATATATATTTCATTAGGTCTATTATCTAAATCTTCTCTATATAGTATTCCCCTGGCACACATTCCATTGGTCAATTCCCTACCCAAATCCCCTATACCCTTTTACATCAACTGAACAGAAGTATATGGTAAGCCTGCTGGAATTTACCCTCATCAATAAGTAAACTGTAAAGGGTAAAAAAACTAAGCCCCACCTTTGGCAGTACAGTAATAAAGCAAGGTCTCAAGGACAAGGATTTGGTAAGAGAATAAATTGGCAGGTCAAAATAGCTGGGAGAGAGGTACGTGGTAATCAATGACTGTGAGGACCATCCTTGAGATACAGAGCCTCTTCTTTAGCATACAGATTTAGGTGACACAAGAAAAGTTAANCATGTAATCCACAAGCTCATTGATGAACTGTATCTACTACTAAGATTTTGGAACAAATTATAGAGTTAAATGCTCCCCCATCAGATTACCTTTATTGTAACAGTTAACTTGTCTTATTTTAAAATTAAAAATTTCATATTTTAAATAGCCTCATAGATATCCTTTGATAATAATAAAAGTTTTAAAATTCTTTTAAAACTATTAAAAGAACAATAGGTACCTGAATGCGCACGTAATTACTGCTACGATATTGGCCAAAAGCCATGGCAACTGAGTGGTCCACCATATCAGCTGAGCCATCGCCAGAAATTCGAGCCATTGGTCGAGCCCAGTCCTTTTCCTTCCAATTCTTGACTTGCTCATAGTCAAAGCTTCCTTCTAGGAGCTGACCTGTCCCTAGTGAAAGTACCAAAATGTCCTCCACACCTCTCACGAAGGGGAATTCTTGCTTGTTGTGAAGCACGTGGGTAATCGCCGCCGCCGTCGGGTTGCTCATGGCTAATCCGCCGTCAACCGCCACGCACTTGGTTTTCCCGTCGACGGACTTCATACAAACGGGCTCGAACACTCCCGGCTCTGCTGACGTGGCCCTACACACCTCCCATAGACAGAAGTCGAAGCTGTCGGTTTCTAAAGCATCAGCTCTGGAGAACAAAAACGGCGCCGTACTTGAAAGGTCGTAACATGGGATCAAAACAGGTTTCAACGTGTCCTTTAACGTGAGGCTTCGACCGGTTTTATCTACAAAGGCCTCCTTCATCGACTTCTCTAAACCGTCCGTTGCTGAACCGGTCGAATCACCACCGCCTCCGCCGCAGATAATTTGCCTGAGAAAACCGCCGGAATTTGAACCTTTGGTAGGGTAGAATTTTTTGCTTTGTTCCGCTAGAAGCTTCCACGTGTCCTCAGCGTGAAACAAGGGGCGGTTTTGGTCCTTGGTGGAGAAGAGCATGGTGGTGAATATTCCTCCGACGCCGGAACCGGCAGCGACGTCGAAATAATCGGCGATTCTAGCATCTGAATTTCCCGATTTAACCTTCAACGCCTGTTCAAGAGACGCTAAAGCTTTTCCTGATAGGATGCTTCGCATTCCACCACCATCTATGCTGAGGATACAGATTTTACCCCTCTGGTTTTTGATTGCCTGAACGCCGTGCCCCTCCCGCACCGGTGAAGATGTCAACACGACGTCGTTAACGTTCTTGTGATGTTCAACTGCCGGAGCTATTTGTTTAGGAATCCAAAGCTTCTGATCATCGTAACCAAATAAGAACTTGCTTTCTAGAATANCCTGTATTTCAATATAGAAATATACTTATATAATTAGAAGAAGAAGAAGAAACGTCAAAAGAAGCAGCGGATATCAAAGGAGCAGCAAAAACAAAAACAAAAACAAAAACAAATGAAGAAGAAGGGAAGGGGTGGGCAAGTAACAAAAGAAGACAAGGGAAGTGATGAAGAGGAAGCAACAACATAGCAGTTGCAGAGGATGTCTGTTAGCTTTTAAAAAACCCTCTCACTCTCCAAGTCGCTCTAACCCCCCTTTTTTAACTTCCCCCATACCATTCTATTGGCCGTATTTGCGAATACTCCAAATATCCATATTTCTTTCTCTTCCCCTGTTATGTTAATATCCCACACCATTTTTACCTTTTATGGATAAACATATACTTTCTCCCAAAGTGTACCCCTGCCCCCCTTTCTTTAATATGTTGATTTATAGCTTAAATATTGTTGGGTTGAGTAACTCCGTCCACTAAATGTAAGTAATATATGGCTAGGGTTAACAACAAGCCCATTATAAACTCACATAGTGAAATTTAAAGAGGGTAATGTGTACCCAACCTTACCCCTACCTTTTGGAGGTAGAGAGACTGTTTCCAATACACTATAATAATAAAAAGAAAAAGAAAACGGGACAATGCCGAAAAGCCATGTAAAAATAGCATAAATAACAAGATAGTAATACGAACGAAATGCCAAAAATGATAGGTACTCAAAGAAACCTAATACCAACCAAATGCGAGAGTACGTACTAATAATACCGGTATGAATAATCTAGACTACCTAACCTACTACCTAATCTTCGACCTCCAAACCTTCCTATCAAGGGTCATGTCCTCGGTCAGCTGCAGTTGCGCCATGTCATGCCTAATCACCTCACCCCCAACTCTTTTTCGTCTTACCTCTACCTCTCCTAAAGCCCTTCAATGTCAACCCCTCATACCTCATTACCGGAGCTTCTCTGCTTCTTCTCCTCATATGTCCAAGTCATCTAAGCATTGCTTCTTGCATTCTTGTTCTCAATAGGAGTCACACTCACCTTGTCCCGAATAACTTCATTCTAAATCCTATCCAACCTGGTGTGCACGCACATCCATCTTAACATCATCATCTCTGCTACCTTTATCTTCTGGACATAGGAGCTCTTGACTAGCCAACACTCAGCCCCATACAATATAGTCGGTCTGACCACCGCTCTATAAAATATACCTTTAAGTTTTGGTGGTACCTTCTTATCACACAAAACACCGGGAGCAAGTCTCCATTCCATCCATCCCGCTCCAATACGATATGTGACATCTTCGTCAATCTCCCCACCCACCCAAACCCTGTATAATAGACCCAAGGTATTTAAAACTTTCCCTCCTAGGGATGACTTGTGAATCCAGCCTCACCTCCCCTTCGACTCCCTGATTTGCACCACTAAACTTACACTCTAAGTATTCTGTCTTGGTCCTGCTCAGCTTGAAATGTTTAGACTCCAGGGCATGTCTCCACATTTCTAACCTCGCGTTAACACCGTCTCGCATATCGTCAATCAAACAATGCCGTCTGCAAATAACATGCACCACGATACCTCCCCTTGGATGTGGCGAGTCAGTACGTCCATCGCTAGGGCAAACAAAAAAGGGCTGAGTGCTGACCCCTAATGCAACCTCATCACGACCGGAAAATGGTCTGAGACCCCTCCCATTGTCCTCACCCAGGTCTTCGCTCCATCATACATGTCTTTAATCACCCCTAATGTAGGCCACAGGTTCCCCTCTAGCCTCCAAACATCTCCGAAGAACCTCCCTCGGGATTTTATCGTAAGTGTTTTCTAAGTCGATGAACACTATATGCAAGTCCCTCTTCCTCTCCCTATATTGTTCAATCAATATCCTTACAAGGTGAATGGCTTTCGTTGTCGAACATCCACGCATAAACTCGAACTAGTTCTCCAAATGGCTAGGGCTTAATATGATGAAAATAAATAATCAAGTATTTTTTATTTCTATTAAGATTTGAACTTGTCGACGTTTATACCTATTTTATTTATCATTAAGATAACCCCTGAAAGTTGTTTCTAGGGGTGTTCATGGTTCGGTTTGGGTCAATTTTCCTATAAAAGGAAATCGAACTAATTAAGTCAATTTTTTAATATTAGAACAAAACTAAACTAATTAACTCGATTTTTATAGGTTTGATTTATGTCGGTTTTTATCGATTTTTTGATTATTTTAATTTTTTGTCGGTGTTTTATCTTAACTGCAGGTCATTTGCCAAGCACATATTCTACGACTATATTCTAACACAATAGTCTCAAACCAAATATTCGTAAAGAAAATTTATCATTTACCAAGATATATTGATAATATATAATTAAATTAAATAGTAATGAGTAATTTAAGGAATCAATTAAAAATAAATTACTTTTAACATGAAATAAATTCTTGGACTTAGCAAAATAAAACTATCACCAAACTAGAATATAAAAACAAAGAACTTGATTATTATAATGGCAAAGAATTAGACTATCAACTTGTGTACGGGTAAAATCAGAGATAATGTTACCCCCGATTTTTCGATAAATAAACAAGAGGGGAAGCATGATCTAATGCAACCTCGAGTAAAGTCGAAGGATCCCTCATTTTTGAGCCCGGAGAGGATGGACCGTGCATCCAGGATCGGACACGGCTGAGCATCGGGGCCGGGCAGAGTGAAGTTTCAGGACAAAGGAAAAAGAGAAACGGTTAAGCATGATGAGCAGGGAGCCGTAATATCCGCCCTCAACTGGATATTACGGTGCAAATCCCGTCCGATATCAACTGTAAATCGGCATTTACCGAAAAGAGAAGATATTTACCTTATTTAGACTTGTACTAGTATTGAGACTCCCCTACTATATAAAGGGGAGAACTTTTTTATTTTAAAATACTGTTGGCACACATATCAAAGCTATAAAATTCATTTTTATGTTCTAGTTGTTGTTCAAAGTGTTATTCATTTCCTCTTCTCTTTAGTTACAACCGAGCCCGTATCGAGGGCTCGATCGGAACCAGTTTCAGTGTTCAACTTAAATCTAGGCTTAATTGTTCCATCGTGTTTGGTTTGATCATTTTATCTCTCTTTAATTCAATTATTTACTGTTCTTAGATCATTCGTATTAAATTAAATCACGTGTCCTTTAAACCGCATACAAATTTAATTGTTACTCGTTTTTAAGGATAAATAGTTTGGTGCCCACTGTGGGGTAAAGGATAATAGTGATGATTTAATATAAATCTCCATAACACACCCTATTTTACACTTGTTCTTTCAAGTTTGATTTCAAGTTAACCTTAGAATGTCAAATTCTTAGTCTGCTCACTTGAACGTTGACGTCGAGTCAGGCCACCACGATGAAAACAATAACGTGGAACCTAGCAATAACGTGCCCCCTATTGATCCCGATGTGTCCCAGTCACTGACCCGATTGATGCTAACTCACAGGTTTCCATCAACATTAACCTACCAGCTAACCCTGAAAAAAGCATTCGCGGGGCACCTCGGTCATCGGCTCGAGAAGCACCAAAGTGGAAGGTGATAAGGTTAGCTTGCGGTTGATTAAATGTTGCAAGCTCAGCAAGTGGTAATAGCATAGTTGCATACCCAAAGTCACATCCCTGACAGGATCGAGCCCGAGCGGGTCAGAGAAAACAATCTAAGGGATGAACAAATTTCTGTGAAGCCGGATGAATTCGGGCGCGTGGAAACTTCCGAGGTGATAAAGACGCTCGAAGCACTGATAAAGCGAGTGGAGTCTGGTGAACAAAAGATATAAACCAATGACAAAAAGATGGAAACTTATAATTTCAGGGTCGATCAGATCCAGGAAACGCCTCCAATATTAAAGGGGCCGGATTCCAAAAAATTCATTCAGAAGTCTTTCCCCCCAAGTACGGCTCGAATAGGAGGGAAAACAGATCTGGTCGCGACACAACCAGGAACGACAGGATATAGGGGTGTACAAGCCAAACCGTCAAGCCAAACCGAACCGACGAACCAAGTCAAACCGAATAAAAAAACCGACTTGTGGTTTGCTTTGGTTGGTTGGTGTTGGAAAATAAAAAACCGATCACTCTTGGTTGGGTTTGGTATTAACCAAAAAAAAAAGTCAAACTGAATCTAAATCAAACCGACATAATATATATAAAAATATATACATAAAAAATAATCATTAAAATCTAATTTGTAAGTATTTTCTAAATTATTTTATAGTTTTCAATGTCTTGAGATATTATTTATTTGTGGGCTTGTAAATTCACTATCCACTTAATAGATTCTAATTACACAACCTAAATTTGAAGCCCAAACTAAAACCCAATAAGAAAAGATAATAAAATAGGTTATTCCTTGTCTTCATTCTTCTGTATCTTTCCTATCTTCCAACTCCAAAGTCAAAAAACCCCAAATAGTGAAAACCCTTCCATCTACTTCACGACGAGCTTCCTTCTTTGCAATTCCGAGCCACTGTCCAAGTTTGTAATTACATATTAGTCTTACTGCTCCAACACAATTTGGTAAGTTAAAGTATTTGATTAAACCAATTATGTTATTTTGTCTTTAAATTTGGGTATAATTGTTATCTTAGATTGTTGGTCCTGAAATTTAATGTTACGAGTTGTGTTCTTTCAATCCAATATTGCACTTACATTTGTGATGAAATCACTGCTTAATGTTAAAGGTTCTCTAAGAAGGAATGCATGCTTCAAGACTATCTAGAAGAAATTAAGAAAATTGAGCAAGTTGAAGAAAGTAATTTTATATATTTAATTCGTAATGAATTTGATTCTATCTTTATATTTTTTAACATGTAACTTTTTCTTTTTTTTTCAGAATGTCCAGGTGACCCTTTGAGTATTGATTAGTTTAGAACTTCAGTTAAACAAAATAGTGTCAACCTATTCATGGTGCTTGGCTGCTTGCTGCTTATTTCTAACTTTTGTCTTGGCCAACTTTAATTAACTTAATATTTTTTGTGGAACTACAAGTTGGGTTGTAGCTTTTGGTTTATCACATGTTTGTTGTCATTTTCTATTATGGAAGGTCTTGGAATTATGATTCATACGAACAATTGCTATTCCTCATATATTATTTTAATGAATAGTAATCATGCGGACAATTGGTGATTATTTGATCTCTTTTTCAAGCATAATATAACTAAAAAGAAAAACCGAAAATAAACCCAAAAACCGAGAAAATCGAAAAAACCGACAAAAATCGAAACCGAAAAAACCGAGTTTATGTTGGTTTGATTTGATTATAAATTTAGTAAACCGACATAGTTGATTTGGTTTTGGTTTAATAAAAAACCGAACCAAACCGCCTCACGTACACCCCTAACAGGAGAAATGATCAAGGACCGAGCAACGGGGGTCTGATGAGTAAAAATGATTTTGGCAGGTCGCTCGGGGTAGGGAAGCATCGAGATTATTAGAGTACAATTTAAACGTGGATGTTGCAAGTATAATATCAGCTATAAGTCGCATCAAAGAAACCAAGTAGCCTAGACCACTTCAGTCTGATCCCTCACAGAGGAATCATAGCTTTGTGTGTAAGTACCACGGTACTCACGGTCATAGGACCGATGATTGTTGACAGTTAAAGGAAGAAGTGGCTAGATTATTCAACAACGGGCATCTTTGAGAATTCCTAAGCGAACGGGCCAAAAATTATTTCAAAAATAGGGATGCCAAAAAACAGGTTGAACAAGAGGAGCCCTAACACGTGATCAACATAATCATCGAGAGAGTGGATGTCCCCCAAGGGCCAATGATAAAACGCACCAAAGTTTCTATCACAAGGGGAAAACACATCCAAGATTATGCCCCGGAAGGGGCCATCTCGTTCAGCGACAGGGCATCATCCAGCCTCACAATGATGCGCTGGTAATATCCGTGCTTATCAGTAAATCTCAAGTTAAACGTGTGTTGCTTGATCCAGGTAGCTCGGCCAATATTATCCGATAGAGGGTCGTAGAACAAATGGGATTATTGGACCAAATCATACCGCCGGTCCGGGTGTTGATCGGATTCAACATGGCATACATGACAATGAAGGCTGGAATAACTTTATCAATAAACATTGCCGGGATCACCCAGGAAATGAAGTTCTACGTGATCGATGGGGATATGGGGTACAATGCCTTGTTTGAAAGGCCATGGGTTCACAACATAAGGGCGGTGCCTTCAACCTTACATCAGGCATTGAAATTGCCCACTACAAGAGGAGTCAAAATAGTCTACAGGAACAACCATCCATGAGGGAGATGTTCGATGTCGATAAAGTAATCCCTGTGCTCGCGACTTCGACATAAAAAAATAGAGGGCTAGCCGAAGAAAAGGAAACCAAATAGCAATCAATGATCCTGACCTCGACCAGGCCAAAAAATTGGGATGAGCACACAACGGACGAGGAGGATGATTATGGCATCCCCAGATATTTTATAGCAACTGATGACATCGATGCCACTAAATCAACAATCGAGGAATTGGATCAGGTTATACTGATCAAGCCCATACCAGATCAAAAGGTATACCTGGGCACGGGACTAACTCCCGAGCTCAGGAAACAACTTATTGATTTTCTTAAAGCTAATGCCAATTTTTTTGCATGGTCTTACTTAGATATGACAGGGATCCCACCGGAGGTGACAACTCACAAATTGAGCCCGGATCCAAAGTTCCACCCGGTCAAACAAAAGAGAAGGGCGCAGTCTGAGATTAAGCACGTGTTCATCAAAGACGAGGTATCTAAACTTTTCAAAATAGGTTCTATCTGGGAAGTTAAGTACCCAGATTGATTAGCTAACATAGTAGTCATACCTAAAAAAGGAAACAAACTTAGAATGTGATAGTTTATAATGATCTAAACAAGGCGTGTCTGAAGGATTCATTCCCTTTTCCTAACATCGATCGAATGATCGATGCATCGGCCGGACACGAGATAATGAGTTTTCTCGATGCCTACTCCGGGTACAACTAAATTTGGATGAACCCGAGCGATCAAGAAAAGACTTCTTTCATAACCAAATTCGGCACCTATTATTATAACGTGATGCCGTTTAGGCTAAAAACTGTCGGTGCCGCGTATCAACGCCTAGTTAACTGAATGTTTGAAGAATAAATAGGGAAATCAATGCAGGTTTATGATATGTTGGTTAAGTCCCTGCGAGCATAGGACCATTTGAAGCATTTGCAGGAAACCTTCGACATATTAAAGAAATACAACATGAAGCTAAGCCCGGAGAAGTGTGATTTCGGGGTCAGCTTGGGCAAGTTCCTCGAGTTCATGGTATCCAACCGGGGAATAGAGATCATCCTGGACAAAAACAAAACTATAAAAGATATCACCGTAGTTGACAACGTCAAGGTAGTACAAAGACTGGCCATGCGGATAGACGCATTGGGCGAGTTTATTTTGAGTTCATCGGACAGGAGCCACCGGTTTTTCTCATTATTAAAAAAAGAATGACTTCTCTTGGACCATGGAGTGCCAACGAGCTTTAGAAGAACTCAAATGATACCTATTGAGCCCTCCCTTACTGCACACTCTGCAGGCGGATAAATAATTATACCTCTACTTGGCAGTTTCTGAGGTGGCGGTAAGTGGTGTCCTGGTCCGGGAAGAAGAAGGTACGTAATTTCCTATTTATTAAGTTAGTAGAACATTAGGCAATGCCGAAATAAGGTATCCATACTTAGAAAATTTAGCGCTCGCCTTATTAAGCGCATCTAGGAAATTAGAACTATACTTTTAGTGTCACCCCATATATGTCGTAACTTTGTACCCGCTGAAGAATGTTATGCACAACCCGAGCTCTCGAGCCGGCTGGCCAAATAGGCCATAGAAATTAGCGGGTACGATATCGAGTACAAACCCTAAACCGCCATAAAATCTCAGATTTTGGCAGACTTCGAGGCCGATTTTACACCGGTATTGATCTCCGAGGTTGAGAAGGAATTACTGCTCACCTCGGGGGCTAGATCAGGGATTTGGACCCTAATCACGGATGGTGCTTCCAACGTAAAGGGGTCCAGGCTAGGCATCTATTAAAACCACCTAAGGGTAACGTGATAAGTCAGTCTATTAGAACTGTAAAATTGACTAACAACGAAGCCGAATATGAGGCTATGGTTGCAGGTCTAGAACTGGCTAAGAGCCTGGGGGCTGAGGTGATCGAGGCAAAATGTGACTCCCTCCTTGTTGTCAACCAAGTCAATGGGACATTTGAAGTAAAAAAGGGATGGGTGCGGAGATACTTGGATAAGTTGCAGGGGACATTACACCAATTCAATGAATAGACTCTACAACACGTACCTCGGGATCAAAATAATGAGGCCGATGCGTTGTCCAATTTAGGGTCGCTAGTCAACTCCGACGAATTTAACTTTGGAGCAGTAGTACAATTGATGAACTCAGTGGTAGAAGAAGGTCACGCCGAGGTGAACTCGACAAGTTTGACTTGGGACTGGAGGAACAAATACATAGACTACCTTGAGAAAGGGAAATTGCCATCGGATCCCAAGGAATCAAGGGCCCTACGTACTAAAGCTGCCAAGTTCAGCTTGGTCGAGGAAAAATTATAGAAGATCCTTTT